AGAGTAAAAAAACTTTCATGATATAATGGCAGCTTATTCCAAGCAAAGCACTAAACAGGACTCATTTGGGTAGAAGGTTTTTTCTTGTTCTCCCAGACAAACCGGTCTCTCAAAAGATAAAAGTAAAACTTACACTGTTCTATGTAAAGATATTAACAAAGCTTTTCAAAATTCAGCCAGGATGGTCCAGCTCCTTCAGAAGCAAACTGAAAACCTTCACACTCAACTGGTTAATCCCAATGTGCAGCAGCCACAACCCCATCACGTAACAGGCTCAGCTAAGGGCTGAACCACGGGCACACTGCCCAACCTTTATCCAAGCCGATGCGGCAACTACAGATCCAAACTATTTTTGTGATGTGTTTTAAAGATATAATGTCTAAAGTATTTACCGTGATTTTATAAAAATTCCACCCTGACAAATATTTCAAAGTACTGAAATTACCTGACATTCAAATACCACAAACGCTACATAAAATCTGTGAGAAAAATAAATGAAAAGCATTTACACTTTGAATAAAAATGCATATGCAACAGTAACAGAACCTACTGGAACTAGAAGGATGTGGTTGTACTATCTCAGCACGATCAGATAGATTTTTCCTGTCCTCTTACGTCTTACAAGGAGCGTCTCTAACTATTACGATGAGCTGAACTGACCCACCAAACATCAAAGCTGGCAAGTCATCAGGCAGAGGCTGCAATGCAGCTAGCTGCCGGAGAACCTTAGGCACGTACGTGGAGGACTCCTGTAGTGACGAACTTCCAAGCACGACCTGAGGGCAGCCGGTGAGTATCCACAGAACACTGTACCTCCATATCTGTTCTCACTGCTTTCCAAATCCTGTAGAGGCTCTCCTCCAATTCCTTCTGTTTGTGTGTATTCCTAACTTCTAACTTGGCCCCCCACAGTGATGCTTAGTCCAGCTTTCAATCATATTTCTGCCTAGCTATCTTCAAGACCAGCTCCCACCTACTTTCAACAACTACCAAACCCAGTCTCCAGCTCTAGCCTGGACTTCCAACACAAGCCTAGCTCATCCCTCCAGTCAGTGCACAAGGTGCTCATCTAGTTTGTACAACTGCTTAGTGTTATGATTTATGAAGTATGGTGTGATCTTCCAACTTGCTACACCATACACGGTGAAATCCAAGCAAAGATGAAGAGATGTATGTCTCTTGCAAATGAAATGAAGTGTTCAGTATCAAATGAAGTGGGAACTCCTCCTCTGCCTCCTTTTTCTTAAAATTCAGAAGTATCTGACTTGCGGTTTTACCCATGCAATACTAAGATGCTATTGTAACACTATAATAAATTGGAAGAAGGGGTAAAAGCAGTAGGGAACAAGGTCTGTCTAGTCATTTGCACTCACTGTTTCCGTGTTCAAAAAGTACAAACAAGGTGCTATAACCAAAGGAAAAGCATGCTTTTGTCAGTCTAGCATTCTTCCAGCAAAAATACTCCTTAGTATTTGCTTTTACCTTGAATAATAGCATGTCAGAGTCTTGAAAAACCTGCTAAGAACAGATGTGAAATTTCAGACAGCTACTGCGAACTTTGTTCTTACATCTATTTGTAACTTCCTTTCCAATACGGTAAAAAACAGTCTTTTGAACAGCTTTAACTACCAATCTTGTCTAGAAAAAGAGTCCAGGTGACCTCACTGCTCTTTGGGAATGGCTCAGTGAGCCAAGACTGACCTACTCCCACAGCAACAACCACTCAGCCCAGACACACACTTCCTGACGGCTGGGTACGCTCCTCCCCTGCCCCAGCCTTGAAGGCTTGGCTCAGACTGGTGACATTAGGGGTCAAGTGCATTTTCCATAGCATGCTTCAGGTAAGGTCTCTTTTGTGAAACAAGAACAGAGAAAGCAGAACATGCAATTCTAAAAATGCAAAATATGCTTGCGATCATCCTCCTGCAATGCTAAGTGCCCAAAAGTGAGCAAGTAAATAGTGAATAACCCTAAGCAATGCATATCGTTTTTTGGATGCATGTTACATTTCCAGTCATTTGTCAAGTCCTTACCTAAAAACAAACCTTACCAGACAAAAAAAAAAAATTCCAATCACTCCAAGGTTTGCTTTTTCCCAGCAAAGTTTCTGATATACTGCAATGATAAAACAATGACCTAATTTTTATTTGAGTAATGCAAAAGCCCCAAAAACTAGTAATAACCAATTTTTCAAGACTTCTCTTAAAAAGCTAATGCATTATTAGCAACACAGCTGAAGTTTCTCTTTTCAGAGAATTATTTTCAAGCAAGTAGAGCCCCTTTAATCAGTGTATGACCTCTGAATGGTCCAGACATTACAACATATTCTGTCGTTGATACCAAAACCATTTCATTTTTAAAACTCAATTTAAAAGGTTTTCGATTTTTTCTCTCTATCAAAGAAACACTTTCTGAATCATTTTAGGAGCAATGTTCTGCCCTTAGTGAAAGCGAAGCATTATTTAAATCAATTCTGTTTATAACCAGTGCTTCAATGAAAAATGACAAAGAGAAGATGAGTGAAAGCATGGGAGCTTACACACACAATTGTTGGTGAAAACTTATTATAGATACTGCATGCATACAATTTGTAGAAACCACTTCAAAAAAACCTGAAATGACAACTAGGATAAATACAACATATCACACAACAGCCTGTCAAATATCAAACATTTAAGAGCAAACTTTTAATTTTACTTTTCTGTGCCTCACAGCAAACAATTTAATACTCTCAAATATCCCAGCAACACCTGTAATGCTTCAGCACATCCATTCTAGAGATCTGCATCACAGATAAGTTTCAATGGCACAAACCAGGTTCAATTTTACTACAGACATTTTTTTCAAAGACATAAAGATACAGCATTCACTTTATACTGCATCATTTTAAAGTATTTAATTATCCCTTCAGAAAAGAAAGACCATTAGCTGCTGGTTTATAATAAAAAAAAAAGAAATCTGAAAAAATCACAATGAAAAATTGCATGAAAACAAGAAGAAGAAGAAAGAATGTGTGTCAACATATCTCTGGGAAAAAGGGACCACAATTCATGCTGGATTAGATTCTTCCTGTCCCAATTCACGCAACTGTAGTTAATTATACCCAAGAGGCAACTGTTCCATTTTCATGTCCTGCTCACAAGGTACCCCACCTCTGATTTGCTTTCATTTCTTTTCAGCTTTCACAGACTCCTCTTTCAGATTGTAAAGCTAATTTTCTTTCTTTTTCTACTTCCTTTTCTTGGAGACTGTTCCCCAGTTTTGCCTTCCCAGAATACTCAGTAATTGCAAGCTCAATAATAAAACTGAGTAAAAAACCCAAAAAACTGTGGCTGAATATCATGGAGTCATCTATAATTTTACCAAGTCAAACAGGGAAATGTGCTTTTAAACCTATTCACCACAGGGTCTCCTCATCAGACACATCTCTGAAAACATCTTTCACCTATAAACTCTCAAAACCTTCAGCAGTAAACAACAGTTTGTATCTACAAGAATTTTAGCTTTTAAAATCTATTGTGGTATCATTACCAGGGCAGGTTATAAGGGGCACATAAAGGGCAACAGAGAATGAGTGGAAGTTAAAGGGCCTCATGACACCAAGATACAGTTAAGACTGGTTTACTGGGGTCCTGAAGAAACACTAAAAAGCATTTTGAAGCTTGAAGCATTTTGATCTAGATGTCTCTCAGGTATTACAAGAGCTATTCATCTATCCTCAACCTTAAAACCTTAACAGGATCGTGATGCACTGTGAACACTTGAAGCAGAACACAGACTACATGGTGCTTCAGGAGATTTGCATTTCATTATTCAAGAAAGCTTTTCACATTTTTTTTTTTTAATTTCACATAGCAGATGTATTTTCAGAGCAGCAAGTTATTAGGTTAATGGTACTTCCCTTTGCTTACTGCAGTAATTAGATTCCGTCAACATTCAACTGCTTCTCTCAACAGGCTTGACCTTAAGATGGATGTTCAAGTTCTCTTTGACAACAAGCAATTATTAGCTGCCATTCAGCACATTAGCATTAACCAAGAGAACAGAACCAGCCAAAACTAAACTATTCTCTTTCATCAATACTTTCCCTCCAAAAACCCAAAGTCTAGCATTTTTTGCTTGTTTGGCGGTTTTGATTCTTTTTAAGGTAAACAGCTCATTTCAGTACAAATAGTCAAGTCAAGAATCCAGCTTTGTACTAGAAACAATTTTTTATAACATCTTTAAGAAAAGATGCTATAAAAAAATGTTATTCAGCACTTTAGATGTAAGCAGTAAAGACAAACCTAAACTTAGTTCGTTATCTTCAGGAATACTGATTCCTAGATGAGACCATGCTCACCATTCAATGAGTACTGCTGATTCCTACTAGTATCTACGACATCTAGACTAGCTGTGAGAAAAGCAGGGACACAGTAAAAGGGCTGGGAAGAGTAGGGGACAAACAAGAAAAACAATAGGAATAACAAGCAGTGAGGCCAGTGATACAAAACTACTTTGGAGCATTATCACCTAAAGTAAGTGGCCCTGCACGAACACTGTGACTAGGCATCCATGTCTGCCAGTGCTATTTTATAGCTACAGAGCAGCACACCTTAGGCTTAATCCTCAGACGGACAAAACAGAAAAAGGATTTCTCCAGGAGCAGCATGTACTGCAGATCGCATAGAGAAATGCTGATATGAAACTGCAACGTGTGTCTGTTAATTAAAAACTTTTATTCTAAGAAAATTATTTTCAAGTTGGGACCTTTAGAGTATTATTGGCAGAAAATATGGTTGTCAAATAATTGGTCACACCTACTAAAAAAAGCATGGTTAAAATACAAATACAACAGTAGATTCACTTGCTCATGAAAGTCAAAACATACTGAATCATTGAAATAAAATTTCAGGTTTGCTACCCTCTGGAAAAATAAATAACAAAACATGTATTTAAATAAGCAGACCCCAACAACATGTAACAGGAAGGTTTTTTATGGATGTTCTGCATATACTTACAGGTTGAGCAGACTAACAGTGCTCTCGCTACAAGCTCACTGAGTAACTTCCACTTCTGCTCGACTTTGGAGGTGACAGCTGGAATAAGAATCTCCGCAGGGACATAGTACTGAATTGAATAGGTCACAAAAATCCCAAAGGAGTACAGAATTTTTACAGATTGATACAACCTGTTGAAAACATTTACACATGTTCATGTAAGTTGCAAACTCTTCATAAAAAAAATTAGCTTGCTAATGGCACTAAGGCTATATCTATAGATATATATAAAAAATACATTTTTCCCCCCAGCAAACAAGAAGATAACATCATCTGCTTGCAATTTATAACTGCCTATGAAATTGCAGAAGATAAGCTGACTACCAAAATACGAACCAAAACAAAAAAAAAACCAAAGCAGTATCATGCAATTATAAATGAATAAAGTTAAAGAAGAACAGGTTAAACAGCCAGCAGTTATCTGGGAAAAGAAAATTCCAAATTCACATCAAATATCATCTGTACATTGATAAACCTTTCACAGTGGCAGTAAACATTAGACATTTTAAAGACTAATGCCAATATCGTCCAGATTTCTGCATATTCACAAAGTGTTCCTAAAAAGATTTTTCACACTGGGAAGAGGGCATCTCAGGACACTTTATTTGTTAAAATTGGAAGGAGTACCTTCTAAGGCTAGAAAATATCCATAACCAAATTTGCTTGTGGTCCACACTCTCCTCTTCAAAACCGCTAGGCACAAAACAGCACTAAATTACTGTGCCATGTCATAGTATTTCATAGGGTTCAGAGCAACACAAAGGAGTACTAAGCTCTACAGCTCCAAATTGTGCCAACCTTATGCCAGTGGTGGATTGGCAGGATACATTACTAAGAAAAAGAAACTGGAAACAGAATGTATGCATGTGTAGAATAGAGTTCATTCTGATGCAGGAATGTCTTTCCTAACATACAGGACTAGAGCTGCTGTAACTAGACAAACATTTCAGGGGTCAAGATATTTTTTATTGTTTTTTAAGAGACTGTATTTTATTGAAAAGTTACTTTAGGATGGTTTTAAATTCTGTGCCACAGATAAGCTGCTGTCTTGTACCACTCCCAAGAATTCAGTTACATAAAAAGCAAAATTATCTCTACATAGATGGGTAAAAGGCACAAGCCACATTTTAAGAAAAGGGAAGAATTTCTATTCTTATCAATCTCTTTCCATTGTAGTGTTATTCCACCTTGCATGTCATGAAGTATAGATAAAAATGTTAAGAAAATGCAACATAGTGGACAGTTTCTTTATAACAATATAAAACTCAGCTACATTTAACTTCTTTCTGCCTAAATTGGTTAAAAATACTCTTTATTATTCCAAAAATATTCACTGATTTCAGATCACCCAGCTTTAATTCTTTTTTCAGAACTGTGCAGAAAAAGAAAACCCTATCCTGTGAGTAAAGAAAAAGATTATTAGTATTTATCAGAAAAAAAGTGACATATCAAAGGTGAAGACAAAAAAAAAATCAAGGAAAAAAGTTCACATCTACACTCACATAAACTGTATCTCAGTAAGAAATATAATAATAGCGGCTGTGAGGCTCAGGTATAAAATAAGGAAAATATTTGGGAAAAAAAAATGCCTGAATGGATTGACAGCTTAAGTTCAATATAATTTTGCATGGACTTGTGCATCTTGCTTCCTTACATATGTCAGACAATAATCCATATATTGGCACTGTCTTGCCAAATTTTAGGTAACAAATACCTTTTTTTCCCCAAGTTAGTTAAGGTTTTTTAGATATCATCCTCATGCTCTTATCTCACTTATCTTAATGCAGCAAAACCCATTGCTATATGGCTGTAGCACTATTGTTTTTTCCTACATCTCCAGCTTTTTGTAAATAAAATGTCTGCAGATCTACTCCAAGAGAAGGTCTCAGATAAATTAGTTTGAGAATTTCTGTTAAGTTCGCAAAAGCTGGAGTAAATCTTCCAAAAAATTTGAAGTGTGGACACTTTTACCACTTTTACTTGTGGCTGAATAAACAAGAAACACAGTATTATCCATGCCACTAACAGTTTTAAGTTTAGATGCATTCTTAATCCATGCTGCATAAACTACAAATATTTGTCATAGGTCTGCTTACAGCCAACTGACAGAAGTTACGAGTCTCTTGGTATGATTTGGTTTCTAAAAATATAACTAAGAACATGATCAAAGCTTTGGGGTAAGGTTTTGGTTCATTTGCCATGGGATGTTGTGTATTCACAAATGAGAAAGAAAATATTTCTCATAAACAACCTCTGATAACAGAAGATGATGCTAAGCAGACCAAAGCACTGAATACTTTTTTTGCTTCAGTTCTCAAAAAGAGGTTCAGCTGCAACCAGAAAGCAAAGGCAACTTGTAACAGTAAGAAAAGAAGAAACAGCTGCAAGAGTAGGGAAAGAACAAATGGGACCCTTGTCTCTGTATCTTCCAAAGCCTGGTGGAGATCACTCAAAGTCTTCTCTCTTTGAGTATCATAGCCTGTATCTGTATTAGTAAATAAAATCAGGCCAGGACTGCTTTTGGCCCTGTCCTGGTTTCAGCTGGGATGTAGTTAACTGTCTTCCTAGTAGCTGGTACGGTGCTATGTTTTGAGTTCAGGATGTGAAGAATGTTGATAACACTGATGTTTTCAGTTGTTGCTCAGTAGTGTTTAGACTATAGTCAAGGGTTTTTCAGCTTCTCATGCCCAGCCAGGGCACCTGACCCAAACTGGCCAACGGTGTATTCCATACCATGGGACGTCCCATCTAGTTTAGGAACTGGGAAGTGGGGGGCAGGGATTCGCCGCTCGGGGACTGGCTGGGTGTCGGTCGGCGGGTGGTGAGCAATTGCCCTGCGCATCATTTGTACATTCCAATCCTTTTATTACTACTGTTGTCATTTTATTAGTGTTATCATTATCATTATTAGTTTCTTCTTTTCTGTTCTATTAAATCGTTCTTATCTCAACCCAGGAGTTTTACTTCTTTTCCTGATTTTCTCCCTCATCCCACTGGATGGGGGGGGGGTGAGCGGCTGCGTGGTGCTTAGTTGCTGGCTGGGGTTAAACCACGACAGGCCCCTTATCCTAAGGCCAACTGGTTTGGGTTGGAAGAGGCCTTAAAGATCATCTAGTCCAACCCCCCGCCATGGGCAGGGACACCTTCCACTAGACCAGGTTGCTCAAAGCCCCATCCAACCTGGCCTTGAACACTGCCAGGGATGGGGCAGCCACAACTGCTCTGGGCAACCTGTGCCAGTGTCTCACCACCCTCACAGTGAAGAACTTCCTCACATCTAATCTAAACCTACTCTTTTTCAGTTTAAAGCCATTACCCCTTGTCCTATCACTACATGCCCTTGTAAAAGTCCCTCTCCAGCTTTCTTGCAGGCCCCTTTAGGTACTGGAAGGCTGCTATAAGGTCTCCCCAGAGCCTTCTCTTCTCCAGGCTGAAAAACCCCAACTCTCTCAGCCTGTCTTCATAGGGGAGGTGCTCCAGCCCTCTGATCATCCTTGTGGCCTCCTCTGGACTCGCTCGAGCAGGTCCATGTCTTTCTTACACTGGGAGCTCCAGAGCTGAACGCAGTACTCCAGGTGGGGTCTCACAAGAGCGGAATAGAGGGGAAGAATCACCCCCCTCGACCTGCTGGTCAAGCCTCTTTTGATTCAGCCCAGGATACAGTTGGCTTTCTGAGCTGCAAGCGCTCACTGCCGGGTCGTGTTGAGCTTCCTGTCAACCAACACCCCCAAGTCCTTCTCCTCAGGGCTGCTCTCAATCCACTCATCGCCCAGCCTGTATTTGTGCTTGAGATTGCCCCAACCCATGTGCAGGACCTTGCACGTGGCCTTGTTGAACTTCATGAGGTTCACACAGGCCCACCTCTCAAGCCTGTCAAGGTCCCTCTGGGTGGAATCCCTTCCCTCCAGCTTAGATGGATTTTAGCTGGTTAACAAAAAGAAAACCTGAGCAGCTACCCCAATTAGCCTCTAATCCTCAGGCTTCAGATCATCCCAAAACTTTATAAAATTTTTAATCCTCAATTTAGGTTTTTTTATTTTAAAAAGAGATTCAAAAACAGGATTCAAAGCTTTAATTTCACAGTAGTTCAAAGCATCTCCATTACACTATTTTTCTAACTCTACAAGGATTCAAATTTTTCAAATTAGGAAACAACTTTTATATTGTTAAAGTGATTTTACTAGTACTTTAGTATTATACTCCAATCAGATAAAGATGGCTCCTTAGGCTACCTTTTAAAAGATTTCTAAATCATTCATACATCCTAGAAGAAATTAACAAAAGCCTGCCTCCCTTCAATCTACATTTTAGACTTTGTTGTACCTCTTTTAAAGGGAAAAAATTGGGAACCAGTGTAACAAAATTTGTATATCAATACAGCTAGGGCAAATATGGCATTAGTTATGCTAAGCTTCCACTTGAACTACTACCATGTAACCTCTTGCTGAACTTGGAATATGCTATAATATTATGTATGGTAATTAATCTTTGGGATTCATGGCAAATGACTTGTTGCACAAAGACTATCACATATAACTTATTGAAGAACAGACAGCAGGAAGAACCTTTGGCCTCAAAAACATGAGGCTCTAACCAAGGACAAAGAAGAATTTTTATTTTTTTTGGTTATGAGGGTGGTGAGACACTGGAACAGGATGCCCAGAGCAGTTGTGGCTGCCCCATCCCTGGCAGTGTTCAAGGCCAGGTTGGATGGGGCTTTGAGCAACCTGGTCTAGTGGAAGGTGTCCCTGCCCATGGCGGGGGGTTGGACTAGATGATCTTTAAAGGTCTCTTCCAACCGAAACCAGTCTATGATTCTATAAGACCCCAACCAAGGGACACTACTAAAGTACTAAAGCAGAATTTCCCCATATCTATATTTGCAGATGTCCCAGGACTTGGTTTGAACTGATGATCAAGCAACAATAATTATGTAATTTTTTACTATAAATACGTGCTGGTTTAGGCAAAAAGAGTCCCTCCTTCGCTTCAGTCAGGAGGCACCCTCGTGATCGCAAATAAATCAGGTAAACTATACTCTGTGCCTGTGTGTTCTCAGTCAGCAACAAACTGAGTAAAGATTCATATCACTAGGTACTCTGCAAACTTCTGAGGACATGAAAAACAATTAAGATATTCCAAACAGCTAAACATCACTCCATGTAAAAAAAGAAAAGTTATTTAATGTAGTAAAATAGAACTCTTTGATTCCAGAAAGAAGTTGTTGTTAAAGATCAGGAAAAAGAAAAAAAAAAGCTGAAAACTACTCTTTTCATAATTTTCAACATATTCTAATTAATGTATTGTGCCAACCAATGGTTTGTGCTGCAAAAAACATTTGAAACTAGAACTGCAACAACTCTCTTCTCCAAAAGCTCCAATCTAGCAGAATGTTCTTAGAATATAAGCAGTCCTCTATTTAAATTAAACTTAAGGACTTAACTGGTCTAGGGCTTGTGTATGCCTTCTGGTCAATTCATCTGCAAGAACATCAAATAAAACTCAGAAAGCAACAGAATTTTAATTTTCTTTGTCCAGAAAGGTTTATTTTTAAGACAGGGATTGTCCAGCTAGAATTAAACACATAAGCCAAGTCTCACTGCTCAGCTACATTCCAGGCTCTTTTGCATGACCACTTGCTTATAAAAGCTTGTGTGCTCCTTGCATTTCTCTAGTTCAATCCAGATACTTACTGGCTTTTTATATAAGGACCAAATAACAAAATATTGTCATATGGTTCACTGGAAATTTGTTTTGCTAGCACAGTTAATTGCATACATTTGCTCATCGGTACTGTATCAGGTAGACCCACAGTACTGCACAGCAATAGCATCATCATATGTCACAACAGCACACACCACTGAGCTGCTTCTCCTTCTAATTTTGTTTGATGCTCTGGGGTACTATCCAGGGTAAGATGAAAATAGATAACTTTACCTCTACGTATGTGCCCTGAGCAGCTTTGAGGTTATTAAACTTATGATGCCAGTTCTCCACCTTATAGAACACCAGTTTCCATCTCTTTTATTATCTCTTTCTTTGCATTAGGTCTCTAAAGCCATCAGGATAACTATCATCTTATCATCACATCTGCACTGTAGCCAAGAGCTATTTGAAAACTCTTATTTGAACAGCCGTATTAAACAGCAGGGTGGCAGAATAAAGCAGAATATTACAGCATAATAAAGTTCATCCTGTTGCTTGCATGAACACAATAAAAAGCAACAGAGTGAGTGAGCAACCTTACCTTATATTCCACATCCCTCTCCCAGGCAAAAATAAAGCCAGATCTACCATTTAAAACAAACTTTTCACTAATCATATCAACAATGAGCAATACTATGCAATATTACCAATATAAGTATTTTCCCTTCCAGATGCATCACATAGACAGAAATAGATACAGAAAGACTTCTACTTCTTTTAATGTATGTTATGTCCAATGAAAGAACATAATTAAATTTGTATCATGAACAACATGCCCCAAAAACCAGAACCACAAGAAAAAATAGAAAAAAGTGCCACAAAATGGGCAAAAAATTGGGCCCCAAATCTCTATTTTTACAATAGTAGTACAAAAACAAAACAAGCAAAAAAAGCAACAAGAGAGACATGAAAATTCTAGCAACAGGAAAAAAAAAATCATCCTTCAAAGACAAATTTTATTATCATTTCATGTATTTATCATCAGGATCAGTCAGGCAATAAACAAAACTTTTTAAGAATATTAAAAATGCATAGCTCACACTGACTCCAAGGAATGAAAATGGAAAAAGAAAATGAAAAAGTAATACTTGAAAATTAAGAACACTCTTTATATGTGTTCTTGTCTTTTTCAGAGTAAAAAAGGAGTCAGCATTCAGTTCAGCAAAGCAGTTTTTGTTTCACATAATTTCAGATTTCATGACTTCCATATGCTACCACAACAGACATCAAACAAGTAGATGCAAACATATAACCTGTAGGACATTACTTGATCAGAATGAAAACATTAAAATACTTCTCAGCTTTTATACTTGTGCACTGCTGATATACCTAATTTTAGGCCCATCAGACATAAAGGTACTAAAAAAAATTAAGAGTTGTATTTAAATTAATAGTTACAGTATATATCCATCCATAGATAAGATACAGAACTAACAATGCACCAGTTGAAACAGTCTTCAGTGCTTCTTCAGCATGTGACATGTGGAGCTCTCATAGCATTAAAAAAAAAAGCTAAATAAAAATTATAATACCCCGGAGACACCGGCAAGCGTAAGTCTCATTTTCCTGATAGGAAGCCATTATTATGCATTATCCATGGACTTGCACCTGAACTACAAACCTATTCCGTTTTGTTGTCTTCTATTCCAGTTGTTTATCTGCTTAAGTCACTGACTCCACTAAAAAAGGGCCACTATATTACCAGGATATCCAAGTTAAAACTAGCTGGTTTCAGAACTGCAACATAGCTGGTTACAAACTGCATATTCCCTCCTTCAATACAGGGAAGTAGCTCCTGCTAGAGATGGAATACTTTACTATAAAGATCATTAATCTGTTTCCATATGCAATTCCTTTTAATGTCCCAGAAATTGCTGGGTAGGATCACAGCTCAGCTGCAGAATGCACAGAGATACTATATACAGTCCAATTTTAAAAGGGTTTGAGCATCTATCAACTATGACTGCACTGATCCATGGAACAACCTTTATAATGTTTTTGCCTTCTAGATTACTGCTTTTAAATCACATATGCACTTACCATATATCTTGTGGCAGGTTTAAAGTTATGCTGCCTTTGATTTCATCCCCAAAGCGCAGATACCCTAGAGTGGCTAATGAGATATACAAGGTCATGACTATTCCCATGCCAATGTTCAGCGCCTGTGGGAAACGTGTGGTGTCCTTCATTCTGTTTTCCAATGGGAGTACCTGGAAATAGAGGGAGAATCAATTACATTTTATGTCCTCAGAGTAAAACTACTTTTCTCCCCCCCTTTTCAAAGCTGATTTCCAAAATTTAGGTGATTTTGTTGATAAATAAGATTACAATAATGTTTTACAGCCTGGAAGATCACAATGTTTTATGCACCCAATAGAAAAGTTCAAATACTGAAAAACACCTATCTTGGTTGGAAAACAGCATCAGTGTGGAAATATAAAGCAATGTTTATAGGTTAGAAAAACTGACGAGAGAAACTTATGGTGCCCAGATGAAAATACATAGGCAATAAAGGTAACATTAATTTTTTTGTAACAGAACTGTTCAGAATCCAAGGGTAATTCTCATATTTTTATTAGGTATGTCTGCACTGTCAGTCTCCCTCACAGACAAACCTACCATGCACACAGTTGACACACAAGCTCATGCTCAGCAGTCAGCCTCAGCTCTGCCCAGCAGGGAAGCTTACATCCATGACTACCAGAATACAAACCCATGTTCTTTTTCATTTTTCTGACAGAGATAGGGCCAGGCACACTAAGCACTGCTTTTCCTAAATACAGTGTAGGTGCTTTGAGCCCGAACTATAGCCAAGTGACGTTGCTGGGCTTGCCACCACTTCAGAGTGAAGATACAGGCATTACAACCATTACTGCATGCAGTTTGCTGGAAAGATTGCCTTTTACATGTACTATATAGCATATAGAAAAATATACTTAGTAAGTTCCAACTTACATTTTTAGCCACCAAAACAAAATTTCCAGGCAAGGCAGGAAAACCAAGTAACAAGCTCACATGCTGCTCTTCCCACCTTGAATTTCATCAGCGTAACACATCCTTTTACATCTTCATTAAAACACAAATTAAAGGTACATGGATGCTCCTAGACAAGCATACTTTCCCTATCTCTTTCAGGAGAACTGTACACTCATCTGAGATACTCAATAGGGGATATAGTTCAAGATTAAGACACCTAAAGTTGTACGTCTACATATAAGTAAAACGTCCAAGCTTCTGTAATGAAGATCTAGTCAACATAGTCAGTGGAATAAAGATCACGGTTCAGCTTATCTTTCAGTAGACATGCAGGTTATATTTGATTAACAGTACGGCACCGTAATTAAACAAGCTTGTTGTATCTGATTAACACTTATGTCAAATCTAATACAGACAAAACAGTTTCAGTGCAACAGGGCTGCCCTGTAAAAGCTAATGTCCATCATGTAAAATTGCTTTTTAAATGACTGAATATTTACTGGTTTCAATTTAACCAACGTAAGTTTTGAAAAAAGCAGATTTCATGCACTAATTAACAAACAAATTGATATATTTGAATTGCTGCCATATTATTTTCTATAGGGCAATCATTCCTTTCCTCCTGGATTTTCACTTCCTGACCTATCGCTGAGTATCACCACTGCCAATCCATCCCATGTTGTTATATTTCTCCTACACCAGAAATCCGGAAGAAGTCATTTTATATTTGGGAACAAAGAGATCTCTAAAAAGGTGCACATTTGGAGGCATTTCAAAATTTTCATTCATCTTCAATTAAAATACATCATACATCTTAACTGAGGATCTTCTTCATATAATTCAGAGCCTCCACTGCTGATGTTTTTCCTCCAGAAAGCAATCTGAGCTTGCACTGTAACTTTATCTGGTTGAGAATGCAAATTTTAAACCAGGAAGAGTTTCAAAACTAAAATCAATTTTTACATGACAGTGTTGAGCAGCAGGAAAAATACAAAAGGAGACATGTGGCTGAAAGTATTACTTTACTGCCACACAGACAAAATACATTCATTCCTCTAAATGAATTAAGGTTCTGTGTCCATATAATACCTATCAAGTCATCTCTTTATATTTCACATCAAGACCTCCCAGGTAGGACAGACGGTACTTCAGGTTCTTTTGTCCTCAGTTGCAATTAGATTGTTTTAATATACCTCCTTATTAAGAGCTTTGAAGGATGAAAATTACAGGCAATTTTTCCCCTTCATCTGGGTTTTCCCATTCTTGACTTCCTACAAACCGACAGCATTTGGGGCTGGATCAGTAATAAAAATGCTCACTCAGCATGTATCTGTTAATTCTCTGGTGATTATAAACGAAATATATTTTCTGCATAAGTTCTGCCATGTTCTACAGCTTCTGGGAATCTTAACAAGCATAAATCGTTAAAGTAAGATCTTATTCCAAGCTATATTATCTCTTCAGAGCTTTAATGGCAATTGCTTGCCCAGCTTACAGATATCAGGAGTCTCTTAAGTTCACTGGCCCAGAGATTGGATTTCTAGAGTCTCCAGCATTCATTTCGTACGCTCCTGGCAGGAGGGCAGTGAACTCAGATACGCATGCCAGCCATGAAAAAAAATCTCATGTTTTAGCACCATGACTTCTGGCAGGAAAGGGATCCTGGAGACTGCCTGCCCCTATGAATTGCAAAAGCAATGTATAAGGGACTACTAATGGGTAAAAAAATTTCCTGTGGTTTCACAGTCAGGGAGCTCAAGTCAAAGACTACAGGACCGTTCACTATGATGGATGCATGCATTGGAGGAGGTCCAGCGGAGGGCCACAAAAATGATCAGAGGGGTGGAACACGTCTCCTATGGGGACAGACTGAGACAGTTGGGGTTGTTCAGCCTGGGGAAGAGAAGGCTCCAGGGAGACCCTATTGTGGCCTTTCAGTACTTAAAAGGGACTTATATGGAAGATGGGGACAGACTTTCTAGTAGGGCCTGTTGCAATAACACAAGGGGTAATGGTTTTAAACTAAAAGAGGGTAGACTCAGACTAGATATAAGGAAGACATTTTTTATGATGAGAGTGATGAAACACTGGCAGAGGTTGCCCAGAGAGGTGGTCGATGCCCCATCCCCGGAAACATTCAAGTCCAGGTTGGACAGGGCTCTGAGCAACCTGGTCTAGTGGAAGATGTCCCTGCCCATGGCAGGGAGGCTGGACTAGATAACCTTTAAAGGTCCCTTCCAACCCAAACTATTCTATGATCCTATGCCTTCTTTCAGGAAAAAAAAAACCCTGCAGGCTATTCATAAAAATGCAGAAGAGAAAGAAACATCCTACTTTTCGGCTACATTTTCAATTGAAATAGCAAAATGTTACATATGTATGACAAACACTGGCTATAGCCATTCTGAAAGAAAGACATTAAAAGAAAAGATATGTTTATATGACTGTACCAGATTTTAATAAATAACTATTATTGGTAATGACGTGTTACACATACACAACGCTTTATATCAAATGCAGGATGGCTTCCACTCCCTGTCCAGAGCGCAGGGCAGGAGGAAGCAGCGTGCAGCACCCGGCAGCATTCAGGAGGTAAGCGAGCAGCAGTTGGGAGCCAAAAGACAGCGCAGTTACCCTGCTGAGCAGGAAACGCTGCGACGCAGCGAGGGGACTCGGGTCCAGCCTCCCAAGGACTTGACTCCTCCGGAGCTCCAGTAAGCAGGACCAAGGCAGTTGGCACAGCCATTGCTGTAGGAGGGGGTGCGCAGGGAGCCCGGAGACATTGCTCAAGATTGCGCGCCACCGCTGGATCTCCGTAACAGAGGTGGTGACTTGCTGCAGGGCAAGGTCCCCTGCACCAGCTTGAGTGGCCACCCCTGGCACGGTCAGGGGATTGGACCAAGACAAACTCCTGAGGGAAGACACCGTCCAGATCTGAGGCTACAGGGACTATGAGGTGCTCCTTCCTCAGGGCAGGGCTGAGGGCAATGGTCACCTCACCTGCACAAAGCATGCTCTGAATTGCCAAGCCAGCATGGACTTATCAAGGATAAACCACGCTTAGCCAATCTCATGGCCCTTTCTAATGAAAAGATTGGCTCTATAGACAAGGGGAAAGCAGGGGATGTCATTTACTTTAACTGAGCAAGGCTATCCATGCAGGATCCCACAGCATCCTTTGTAACCAAAGTAGAGAGATGGGGACTGGATGGCAGGATTCCAAGTTGGGTGAAAAACAGTCTGGACTAGAGGGCTCAATGGGTACTGAGTTCAACTGGAGACTGGTTACTTATGTTGCTCCTGCAGGGTTGATCGTAGGGATGATGCTGATTAATATCCTTAAGGACCTGGATGATGGGACAGATTCTCTCTGTCCAATACTTGCATCATAACATCTTCATTCAAAAAGGATGTTGCATCAATCCAGTATCTCTTACTAAAGCTTTGACATTGCTCTACCCTTGTTCAGACAACCATTTCTGCTATAAGAGGCAGTATCATTAATCTAGTCCAACACCTCCCACACTCTTCAGACCTATAACTTATCACCACATATACAGCCACTGCACAACCTAGTGATGGGAAATACTATGGTCACAGAAAACGTTGGGGAATAATCTTCTCTCCCAAGCAAGGTCAACGGGGGCAGAATGCTGGAGGTGAGAGAAGTGCGAGATCCATGAGATGAGTTTACTTTCAGAGTTTCAAAGAGCTTTTTTTTTTTAACTTTTTTTAATGGGTCTTTTCCCTGCTTCTGATTTCCATGCTCTGCTTCATGCTCTTTTGACCCCAGTTCACACTAGTCCTCTGTCATAGCCTTAAACACCTATGAAATCAGATATTTTAAACAAAACTGATCCTTTTAATAATTTCTCATTCTCCATCATTTTTCTTCCTCCTCAATAGAATAAGTTCTCCATCTTTTTCTCTGTCACCTGCTTCACAGAGATCTTCCTATCATTTTTGACACACTGGCACATGTCACTACTATTACCTTCCTTGAAACTTAATACTTTATTCCTTTAGTAACTATCAACCTTTGGGTTCTTAATTTACAAAACAAGCATAATCCATCTTCCTTTCATTCACCAAATAACTCAAAAGTACCCATAACTTACTGGCAAAGAAGCGTAATCAAATCCTTGAAATAACCTAGCTAATCTACCATCATCCATTATGCAAAGTATCTTCCCTTTCATTTCAAGCTGCATGAAGTAGGTATAAACATCTCCCA